AAGAGGAGATTAATGGTGTTCTGTACGGTCCGTCAAATACTTGCCGAATCCCAGTACAATTTATAATTATTGTTTTTTCAAGTAACATTCTTTGGATATACTTGTAGTATGGTTTATATCATGGCATGGTGCTAAAACCACAGATCTTGACGAAGTTTGGGCGTGGATAATTCGACCTACCATATCATGCCTGTTCTTATACTCCGTTGGGGCGAAGTACACTGCATCTGCTGTAATGTGTTTGAATTGTCTCGCCACGTTTGGCCACAGGCCGCGGCAGTGTCAGAGGTCATCTGTGGATCTTTTGATGATATATTTGCAGATAGTTTTCCTGGTTGCAATGACTTGATCTTGACACTGGCAAGCATGAAACGTCTGCAAGTCCTCTGGGTAGAGATACCAATGCTGAGCGCACTTGTACGAACATGTCTACGGTCTACATTTGGATTGGCTATTTCAGTGGGTGTCTCCCATGGATTGGCTTTTCCTCTGCTTCCAGAGGTCTAATCTCTTGTTGAAAGAGGGCTGTTCAAAGTTCTATATTAGTTGATTTGAAGACTCAGAGGTGTATCTTTGAGTCCCGGCTTCAAGTTACCACTTTGTGTAGATGAATGATAACGCTTTCTTCCCTTAAGTATTTTTTCTCATACTGGTAACCTGTTTGAAATGGAGATTACTTATTTTCAGGAATACCACGACCTCCCACCTTCCTTGGAGGTTACCCGCCCCCCTTTGAATTGGGCTTTTGGGGTGGTGGTATTGGGAAGGCTCATTTGGAAACCCTAATAACCCTCTGCAATCATATCCGTCTTGGCCATTTAATAATGCCCAGTGAGAAAGTTATTACTGGTATTACATACATGTTAATCGCTGCAGTTAAAGATTTCGGTGAATTGAGGAAAGGTTTTGAATAAACTTTTCATTCTCTTCTCGAATTCCCACCTGCCAGCTTTCTTTAATTTTCACTGTGGATTATCAGTTTGTTTTTGCTGAATTCCCAGGTATTTATAAGTTCATTTCTTCCAGGGCTGTATAGTCTCCGCTGTCAAGCGTTTCATGGGTTCTACCTCGCTGATGAGTTTTACCCCTCCTTATACTTGGATTTTGCAATTTTTCGATATCAAATTGCATTCCTTGTCGGGTTGAAGAATCTTTCGGTGACAATGAAGGAGTTTCGTCCAGTCCCTGTAATGTTCCTGAGTACAGTTTTGATATCGGTCTAATGTATGCTAGATGACTCAATCATATTTGCTTGCTAGCCCCTTTTCAGCCCATATCCAACTCCCAATGTTTCCAGAAGGGGGAAAGGGGATTCCAATAGCGAGGGCAGAACGCAGTAAGGGCTGAGACTATCGCCTTGGGAATATACCTCTGCGGATTTTTCAGTTGTCTTAGTGAAAATCTTTTTTACTCCTTGAGGACATATGTATTGTTGGTTTGCCAAGTGATTGATTACGTTCATAGAAATCTTACGATTGAATGGTTAACACGATATAGTTTTAGAGTATAGATCAGGCCAGTCATGCCGGGACCAATGTCAAATGCCTTCTTGTAAGTCAATGAAAACAAGTTATCAGATATCGTTTTTGTTGGAATGCCTGAGACATGATGACACTGTCGATTATCAAGCTGTTCTTTTGCACCCAACGACCCTTGCAACAGCCTTCTGGTACTACTGAAAGAATATTCTTTTTGTTCACAATGTTCTAAATCAACTGTTATTAAACAACTAGTGGATGATTTTCTATAGCCGTTGAGGCATGGTGATGGGCCGGAATTGTCCGGGATCTGTGGCATTGTTAGATTTCGGCTTCATGAAAGTGATCCCCTCGCACAGGGCGCGTCGGTAGTTTCTTCAGGGTGTTTTTCAGAAAAAATGATAAATGGGAGTCAGAATTATTTCCGTGTATACAAGGTGAATTTTTAAACGCAAGAAGTTATGAAAGTCGCATCTGGTCCCAGGCATTTCCACAAATTTTTGAGTTGTCAATAGCTGTTCTTTAGAACAATCCATTGTTATATCGGAGAACGTCCATTTCCTTGATCTTGCTTGATAACGCCGCGACACTTCTGTCAGCCATAATGCGTGGGACTGGAAATGGACTTTCTGTTGCACCATATCGTGGTTCCAGTGAATCTTCCACAGTTTTGATTTCTCTCTGTAATTTTTCCTGAATTGGACTTTTCTTTTTCAGATTCTCATAGAACCACTTCTGGTTTTTAATAAAATCCTTGAATTGTCTTTTTTTCCTTTTCAATCTCCTGGTGTAGCGTCGTATTCTTTGCGAGTAGAACACTGAGTTGTTGTTTGAGAGTATCTATTCTTCAAGTGTATTTTAGTTTTCGTTGTATTGCGCATGTTTGCAGTATTTCCTCCTGGATTCTCGATAGCTTTCCATTCTGAATGCGCGTTCTTTTGCCTTCTTTCTGAAAAGGCTTTTGGATAATGAATAGTCAGATCTGAGTTGTTTTATTCTTCCCTCAGATCCAGCCGTCCTCTTCCAAGGTGGTGGTGTAGTCTTTTCGATGGCTATATGGCTGTTGGGATTCTAGGGATTTTCCCCCCACTTAAACTTCACAATTGCTAGCGATGTGCAGTAGATAATTGAGTCCAGTTGCTCATAGGTCGTAATTTGTCTGACTTCATTGTACAAGTATTTCTTCATTTGCTAACTTGGTTAAGGTTGCCAGTTTTTTTGAATGTGTTGCCTAGGTATTTTAGGTCTAAAATGAGGAGCAAATCCCGCAGTATCTGGCTTTTTCAATGCTCATATTGTTGTTAAGTTGGTTAACTAAGTGGTCATAGACCTATCTAATTGCCTGTGTCGCTAAGTTGGGTTCCCAAATCTTGTATTGGTAGTTCAGAGGTTGCTCTGCTGATTCTGGAAGTTTCTGAAAATCTGCATTGCTGTTGTATTTCTGACTGAACTTCAGCCTCTAATTTCCCGTAATTCGACTGGGGTGTAGACCAATATTTTTCTGGGACAACGGTATAGATTAATGCTTTTGTTTTCCGTAAGATGAGGAGAGATGTGGGGAATTGTTGCAAAAAGGTTTCGGTAAAGGTTCCTGCCGGTAACTACACATTTGTTCGCGCACGGGAAGCACGGAGATAAATTCTGAGCTAATTGTTTCATTATTATTATTATTAATTATTATTATAATTATTATTATTATTATTATTATTATTTATATTATTATTATTATTATTATATTATTATTATTATATTATTATTATTATTATTTATTATTATTATTATTATGGCGTATAGGTCATTAACTGACCACGTTTCACGATTAACGTGTGTAATTCGGTGCCAGGATCAAGCTTTTTTCAACTGTATCCTTGGATTAGACAGCAAGGTTGTTACGCCTTAAAGTGTGAATTATGAGATAACAGGTTGATGAATGTAGGGTGGAAGGGACAAATCAAATATGACCATGTCTAACGCATGGACTCGAACCCTGCAGCCTCCTCGCACAAGAGACGCATCCGTCTGCCGCCACGGGGCCAACATTGTAGTAGTAGTTGTTGTTGTTTGTTGTTGTTTTATTATTATTATTTTTATTAATTATTATTATTATTATTATTATATTATTATATTATTATTATTAATTTATTATTTTTATCAATCACAATATGATGTCTTGGGTGGAGAGAGTGAAGTTATATTACTGTCCAGAAGCGAAACAAAGAGCCATCTCCGCATTTGCTCAAGGGACCACGGAAACTGAACAAAACACCTGATCGAGATGGGGATCATTGACCTCGGAATTAACCTACAAAAGTATTGTAGTACATTACATTTATACTAAAATAATATTACATTTAAAAGGTATTTGGAAGTCGATATTGTTTTCAAGGATGTTAATAACAATATTGTCCTTTTGCACATGACACTAACATGATGACTATGGATGGTGTTGTTCTATGGTATAGAGAAGTTATTATAAGGTGGGACCAGTTTGACAGGTCGGGAAACAAATGAACGTTATGCCGGGTGATGTCCATTGTAAGAGATGGTGATGAAGCCACTTTGTACCTCAAATCTATTGGCTTGTAGTAAGAGCTGCACAACCATTGATATACATTTTAAAAATTCTAATAAAAAAAATAGTTTAAGACGGGAAATGAAACCAACTTATGCCATAGTTTTCGGCAGACGCCACAACGCTTAGAGCGGGATCTTTGCTCATTTTATCGTTTACTAAACTAGATAAACTAAATATGCTCATTAATTCCATGAAAATCGTAAATTATATCTGTTAATAGTACGCATGCAATTAAAAATCCAAAACTACCAATCAAAATTTAGAAAAAAGATCAAAATCTTTTAAGTTACTATAATGCAGATGTGGCCAACATATTTTCAGTCAGCCACGAAACGAACAAAAATGTACATCACAGATTACGTAACACCCGCTTTAACTACATATACACAATGAAAGAATAAAACGAAATTGGTGAAGTGAAGTTAGTTAAGTATTAGTTAGTTAGTGAAGT